ATCACCTCCAGGATGTTATAGTTCACATTAGACATGCAAATTTGAGTTCTAACTAATTTTATTAAATGGCTAAAATTTGTATCTCTTGTGCAAAATATATGACGTTTATATTCAAATTATTCACTGTCTTGCAGGGATTCCGGCAATGCAAATTATATTCTCCTAACTTTAGTCTGTGATATTATATAAGATAAAAACTTAAAGCCTATAACCACCAAACCCTGGTTGGGAAGATGGGGGAGAGGGAGGGAGGTGACAGTGACATGTTTGACAGTTGGCACCGAAGGTCTAGTGAAGTATTTATTTGTTTACTTATGTCCTTTATATCGAGTTTTTGTTTTTTGTTTATAAAATATCTAGAAGTTACCGGGGAGACTTTAATTTACATTGCTGGAATTTTTCTAAGATAGTGATTAATTTGAATATAATCTTGCTACTGTATAGTTTGCACTACACAAAAATTTTAGTAATCATTTAGTACATTATTTTGAGTACATGCCCTTAGGATAGTGTAGTGTGCCCAGAGAAACATTAGGCGCAAATTTTAAAATATGATGCACCAGATTGACTCGCATAAAATAGGAAAGATTCTCTTTAAATTAAAACATTGTCCTTAATTGTGGGTGTCGCTTTAAATCAATAATCTTCAATTGAATCGTTTTAAATCGGCATTCTACTGTATACAGTATATGTGGGTGCAAGACCGACCAGAAGTACTGTACTGTGACAGCACCGGGAACAAGTAGGCTTGGCAATATTGCATCAGTCGTGGATTTAAATGCCCCACAGCACTTTTAAATAAGGCGAGTTGCCACTTTTACTTATTTCTTGTTTTCTTCGGTCATTTTGGGGGTGTTTGGGCCATAAAACAAAAATTAGATTTTTCTTGAACAGGAGGAACCATGTACAATAAACACTCAATAACTCGGCATTTACTAACTCGTAATTTCATATAACTCGGCACGGATATAGTCTCGGAATGTATTAGTTAATTCAGAAAATGCCGATATACAGCCTCTCCTCGACTTACGACAACCCGGACATATTTTTCACATTACGTATTTTCGAGTCCCGACGTTAGTGATTGCGCTGTGTACTGAAAAATTTTTCGTTTATAATTCCCTTTAAAATGGCTGGTAAGCGTAAAAGTGAGAGTTCTCGTTGTGCTGAGAAGAAAAAAGACTCACCCATTTTAGAATTTCTATGTATTATTTTCGCCTTTTCAACTTACGACCTGGTAGTCGGGAAGGAACCCCGTCGTAAGTCGAGGAGAGACTGTATATAAAGTTATCTGGAATCTCAGCATATCTGGCCACCTGCATCACCTACCATGCCTTTGTGTCACCTACCATACCTCTGTGTCACATACCATGCATCTGTGTCACCTACCATGCCTCTGTGTCACCCACTATGCCTTTGTGTCACCTACCATACCTCTGTGTCACCTACCATGCCTCTGTGTCACCTACCATGCCTCTGTGTCACCTACCATGCCTCTGTGTCACCTACCATGCCTGTGTCACCTACCATACCTCTGTGTCACATACCATGCAACTGTGTCACCTACCATGCCTCTGTGTCACGTACCATGCCTCTGTGTCACGTACCATGCCTTTGTGTCACGTACCATGCCTTTGTGTCATCTACCATGCCTCTGTGTCACCTACCATGCCTCTGTGTCACCTACTATGATGCTTCAGTCTTTGCCTGCAGTGCTGGTTAGTGTTACTTTTTTACATTTAGTAATAACATGTCTACATATATGGGTTGATAATTTTTTATTGTATTTTTGTAGGAGGGGGAAGTGCCTCGATAAGTCGGAATTTGGGATAACTCGGCAAGGCTAGAGCCCCTTATATGCCGAGTTATCGAGGGTTTACTGCATTTATAATAATGTGACCTGTTGAGGAACATTTGGCAACACTGGTGCATGTTACCACTCCATCTCTCTAATCACCCACATCTTTCTGCTTTCTCACTCCAAATTTTAAAATGTTATGTAATGTAATGTTAAATGGATACAATGACACTTACCACAATCTCTCTCAAAAATACTTAAGCTTTCGTACAAGACATCTTCAGGTTATGAGGCCCACTAATCCCCCACCCAACAATGGTTGACCTGTCATTGCATCAAAAGGTCAGTAATATGAGACCACTAATCCCCCACCCTACCTCCACCTGACATTGCGACAGGTCAGCTTATTTACACGAGATCCCATGGGAGTGGAAAATACCAGTCTTCGCTACAACTCACATCATCATTCATGCCCGTATCATATAGATTTTTAGTTTTTAAGTACACCTCCTTATATTTATTTCACCAAACTTTTAGATAAAATATTCTGGATTATTCTAGTAAAGAAATGGAGTTTCTAACTTAATTAGTACAGTATTACCCCGCCTAACGCGGTTTCACTTAACGCGTTTTATTATATACGCGGTGCCTCGCCAGAGCTGAACTTTCACTTAACACGGATTTTTTCCACATATACGCGGTGAGTGTCCGGCTCGAGACGCTATTTTTAGATTTGCCCCACCAGCCACCCTGCCTGACTGCCTGTTTTAGCTCATAAAATTCATACAAATTACCCGGTCAGAATATAATTTACATTGCTGGAATTCTTATAATTTGGTGATCATTTTGAATATAAACATCATATATTTTGCATTAGACATACAAATTTTAGATAAAATTTTTTCTCAGAGTAACTATGTTATCTTTTGTGCAAAATATATGACATTTATATTCAAAATATTCCTGGTCTTACAAGGAATCCAGCAATGTCAATTATATTATCCTAACTTTAGTTTGAGGTATTATTTATTACAAAAAAGTTAAGTATTCTGTTTTCCCACACATCTCCTTGGGACGGTTGGTGGGGGGTGGGGGGGAGGGAAGGACCGACCGACCATCTGTTACCCCGTAAAGAATATTTTTTTTTTATTAACTGAAGATATTTGTTTTAGCTCATAAAATTCATACAAATTACCCGGTCTGAATATAATTTACATTGCTGGAATTCTTATAATTTGATGATCATTTTGAATATAAACATCATATATTTTGCATTAGACATACAAATTTTAGATAAAATTTTTTCTCAGAGTAACTATGTTATCTTTTGTGCAAAATATATGACATTTATATTCAAAATATTCCTGGTCTTACAAGGAATCCAGCAATGTCAATTATATTATCCTAACTTTAATCTGAGGTATTATTTAATACTAAATGTTAAAAACTCTTGAAGAGAGGATTGGTGGGGGGGAGGGTTGGGACTGACCGCGCGGTTGGAAGAGGGGGGGAGGCAAGGTGGGGTACTTTGATTGACAGATAGTGTCCTGAAGATTATTTTTTTTTTATTAACTGAAGATATTTGTTTTAGCTCATAAAATTCATACAAATTACCCGGTCAGAATATAATTTACATTGCTGGAATTCTTATAATTTGGTGATCATTTTGAATATAAACATCATATATTTTGCATTAAACATACAAATTTTAGATAAAAATTTTTCTCTAGGTAACTATGTTATCTTTTGTGCAAAATATATGACATTTATATTCAAAATATTCCTGGTCTTACAAGGAATCCAGCAATGTCAATTGTATTATCCTAACTTTAGTTTGAGGTATTATTTATTAAAATTTAGTGGTTTTCCCCCAAAAATTTCTCAGAGAGGGAAGAGCCGGCAGTGTAGTGTGAGAGGGGGAGGGAGTTGAGTCCATCATTTGAATGGACATTAACTTGGCGACTGTATTTCTCTATTTCTCTTAAGTATTAATTGTGTGCATGTACCATCATAAAATTAAGATGTTATTTTTACTACAACATAGGTATGTGCCTTCAAAAAGTGGAGTTTGGGGGTCGGGCCGGTTTCTATTGGAATTAATCCCATATGTTCTGTTGTTCACTTAACGCGGATTTCACTTAACACGGGACCCTCTGGGTTCTATTGACCGCGTTAAGTGGGGTACAACTGTACTGCTTTTACGGACTCTGGTAATTTAGACTCTTGGAAAACATTCCCTAGCACCCAGAAACGTTCTGAGGATGTGGGCTAGTGTCTACCTGTGCAAGATGCATATTTAGATACTGGGAAACATTTCCCAGTACGTAACTGGAAAAGATTACAGGGATAAGGAATTTTTCCAAGATTGAGAAAGTCGTCTGGTTACCTGAAAATCTCTCATCCCCGAAAGTGCTCTGCACCAATTGTTCCGGCTAACAAGGATACCACTTTATATATAGGTCATTATGTTACGACCTTGGCCTCTTAGGTTGTAAAAATGCAATTGAAATTCAACTTCTCTTTGTATCGAAGGTCCAAGGAATATATCCCACCAAAATAATCATCTCGCTACTATAGGGTATATTAAAAATCATGAAGTACATTTAATTACATATATTAACAAACAAACTAACTATATCAGTTATGTACAAAAATAAACAAATACAAACTAAACCTGATTAAATATATATATCACTATATAATGCTTGGTGTTTTTAAAAGTCGAGCAAGGTTTGCATGTTATACCACTAGAAATATACAAGAGGAGAGGAGATACTGATCTTACGACTGCCAGCCCAATACTAAAAACCACCCGGCTTTGAGAGGCAAAAGCAAGTGAGCAGAGGCGGGCGGAAATGATGTAAAAAACTAAAGACGTTCACATTGCGAATCCGCAAACAATCATTGAATGCTCACTCGTTCATTAGTATTCAGGATAATATAATAAACATCACTTTGTTTTACCTAACACATTAAAACCAATGATACATTTCAAGTATAATATATAATATCTAAATTTTAACTGCTTCGGTGTCTACACAACGAAACATTCGAAGTTCATATGCCGACCAGTAATCTATTCATTGGTTCTTATTTCTGACACTTGTATACGTAATTGGAAAAAAACAATTATTTTGTGTGCCAAACATGTACAGTATATCCTGTGATAGATATGTGTATTTTATTTATTTATATTTTACAGAAAAAGGTGATCACGTATGAGGTACAAACACCTTTGGGAGATAAAAAAGATATAGAAGTGGACCTACCAGCCCAGTACAGTCCTAAGTATGTGGAGGCTGCCTGGTATGCCTGGTGGAAAAAGCAGGGATTCTTCAAACCAGAATATGGAGTAAGTATGATTTTCTAACTTGTTACCCTTCACCAAGTTCTCTTATTACTGTGCCAGCCAGTTATAGGGTTATATATCATACCTTGGTCCCATGTGACAGCGGAGAGCTGGTTTTACAATTGCCCATCCCTCCCTGTCAAGGGAGATGATAATCAGGGGTTACCTCCTGGAGGCAGGTCTAATTAGAACGAGCTCCAAAATTAAAAATGATAATATTAAACGGTTTATTCATAGAGTTGCAGCTGGTGGCTGAAAATATACAAACTTACATTTGATTTAGACATAATGATATGCGTTGAATACATTTACAGGGCTGTACAGTACATAAATCTGGAGTTGTTTATTATTTTAACAATAGATGGGATGGTACTACAGTGACCCTTCGTTTAACGAACACCTCGGTTAACATAATTTCGATTAACGAACTGCCTTCCATAAGGATCTTCAATTCGGTTAACGAAGTTCTTACGAACCGACCTCAACATGTTTTCGCTTGCACTGACCGGGCAACCAGCTTTAGTATCAGTCCGCCAATACATTAATCGGTTCTAGGGCTTAAATTCCTTACTATTTTAGTAAATATCAAGAAGTTTATACTATTCAATAATTTTAAAAGTTTAATATTCAATTTTTAGTCATTTTAACAATTATTGAACATAATTGAAGGTAAAGTGACTAGTTTAATGCGCGGCATCCAGCCTCTTAACACAGCAAACAGGAGTTAGTCTCTCTCTGTTTTCACTGGAGGTAACATCTTGCTTGAGACTCTCTTCAACTAAACGCTTTTTTTCTGTGTTTCCAAGCAAATTATTGGTCATTTTGAAATATATTTTACTTATTGACAATATATAATGCAGTCCAGTGTTGATTTAAAGAAAATAATCTTGAATTACACCAAGAGAGCTAAAATTTTATGGGTGAAATGGCGCCATGGGGTGACTTCTCTTCCACCCCAATGCCTTCTCGTCTTCCTTCTCCTCCACCCCCATTCTAAATCCCATCATCATCATCATCCAGGAGCCTTCTACATACACACCTCAAAGTAAGTGAACTTTTCTACCATTTTTGTTGAATTTAGGAAATTTTCGGTGAGCTGGAACCAATTACCCAAAAACCCATTGAAACAATGGTTTGGTTAACGAACTTTTCGGTTAACGAACGACCTTCTGGAACGGATTGAGTTCGTTAACGGAGGGGTCACTGTATTCTTATATCTACCTATCGGTGCGGGCTCTTATGGGCTGAATTTTGTTGTAGTGGCTGACTGCGCGAGGTGGGCGGGGAACTGCCGGTGGCAGGAGGTGGCAATGACGAGGATGGTGCAGTCGTCCACTGCCAAACCTTGCTAGTGCTTGGTGGTGGTCACTGAGGGATGGCATTTCCAGGGTGGAGAGAGCTTTGTTGTAGCCGGAGTAGTCTGTGCCGAGCATGATTCTTAGAGGCCCTTTTCTGTACCTTCTCTAGCCGACGTTGTTGGGTAGAGTTGAGAGAAGACGACCAGGCTGGTGATGCATACGTTAGTTTGGGGAGAATAATGGCATTGTAGATAGTCCTCATCTCTGGCGTGGGTGCCCCAAGTGACCTAAGTCGTCATAGCATGTAGAGTCGGTACGAGGCTGCCTTGATTGTGTTGTTTACATGGGCCTTCCAGTCCAGTTTGTGGTCTATGGTAACACCCAGGAGTTTGGCAGACTGCACTCACTGGAGAGGATGGGTACCCACTGTGACTGCTGGAGCTTGCACTGGAGTGGTGGCAGTATTGATGTGCATGACCACGGTTTTGGTGTGGTTGATGGTGACCTTGTTCTCCGTAGTCCATGCCTGTAGCCTGTCCAGGGTGCCTTGTAGCGATGAGTAGTCTGGTGAGGTGTTGTCCACTGTAACCCCCACAGTGCAGTCATCCACGTACTTCCACTTACCACTGCTGTAGGTGTCCATCATGATTCAGTCCCCATCTAACACTTACAATCGTTGTGCCAGGTTTGTTCTCCCATGCTTTTCTTTATGATAAAGCTAAGAGGCTGCCTAATTTTGAAACTTCAGGGATAGATGTCAAGGAAAATATCCTATACATCTACAGTATTGATTAGGTGTTATCATAAACATAAGAATAATCTTTAGTCTGAAATAATTTTGCATGGTTTGTTTGGCCTTATCAAAGGTGGAGAAATTTGACATTGGGATATATCCCTGGAATTTGTTGATAAGTTTTGCTACCTGGAAGGCATGATCAGTGCTGGAAGTGGTGCTGAAGCTAACTTATTTGCAAGTGATTGAAGTGGATGTAGAAAATTTCGGGGGTTGCTTCCTTTATTGATGGCAAGAGGACCTTCCCTCTTCATAACAGGAATATTGTATGCAACTAGCATGAGATCTGTGATGTTGTATGGCAGTGCAACATGGGCTTGAGTAAGCTGAAGTGAGAATAGTAAGGTAGATAGGAAACCTTGTTCAGAGCCAAGAGGGTAGCTGGGTATTGGCAAAGTTTTGCATAAGGGTAGGAAGAGATGATTTGGGCTTGTGGAGAGCATGGAGCAGACCAGTTGGGTCAAGTGGTACATGAGTCTAAATGTGGAGGGGAGGAGAGCCAGGGATTGGCCAAGAATGGCTTCGGGAAAGGTTGTAAAAAATGATATTAAGAGTTAAAATCCTGATGATAGAGGCTGCAAGAGACAACACAGCTTGGGCCCGTATACACAAAACTTTTATGCTAATGACATAATAGTACTGTTAGCTAGCAGTAAAATATAAAAGTTATACACAAAGATTAACTAGCAAACCTTTGCTGCACAAATATTTATATACAGTATAGTCTGCATTTACGCGGTCAATTGAACCCGTGGAGACCTGCGTAAAACGAGAAACGCGTAAATGAAATAACAGAACATATGGGATTAATTGAAATAGAGACTGAGCCGACCCCCAAACTCCACTTTTTCCGACACAATACGTACGTTGTAGTAAAAATAGTATCTTAATTTTATGATGGTATGCACACACACATAATATAGAAGAGAAATATCAATAAGAGAATAATATACTGTACCAGGTAAAAGAAAATTCTAGGTTTAACACTTATGTTAGAAGAAGAGATGGGTCAGCATACGAGGATGGGGGCTGGTTCCGAGGCAGAGCGCAGATTACTGGCCCTCGGGTGAATCACCATCGCTATCCACCATAGTTGTCAGGGCCTACCTGACAAACCCCTCAAAGTCACCATCACTGTCACTATCACTGGCTTGGCCTGGCTGTGGTGGGTTGCGGTCGAAGAAGTCAGTGATGCTACGCTGACTGCTAGTGTTGATGTGGTCGTGATACATCTGGATGTACTGCTCCATACTTTGGTCTAGAAGGTTATTGAAGACTTCATACCGGCGATTGACATGGTCTTTTGAAAGGGTGAGCTTTAGTTTCAAGGCAAACTCGATGGCATCCTTTACATCACCATGAGTTAACTTCTGTTCTCTTGCTGCCGCACCACCTGCCTCCTCACTGACGTCATCGTCTTCCAACAACTCGTCGGCAGTCACCTCAAGATCCCTGATTACCTCCATGATGTCGTCGTTGGTGGTCTCGGAGAAGCCTGCAGCTGTAACACTCTGTGCAGCTTCTCTTGCAAGGTCCAGTGCCACTGCAACAGACTGAACCTCACCAGTCACAGGTTGCCTCTGCCTCCTACCTGGGATACCTTGCAACACATGCCGCCACGCATAACGAATCGTTGCCACAGACAGCTGCCCCCATGCCTCCAAGAAATCAACAGCTTTCTTGACGTTGAATTTCTTCCGAAACTGTTTGATGCGAACTTCTTGCTCCGCCAACTCTTCTTGCTCCTCGTCCTCACTCTCGCTATCGGTGTCACTCAGGTTCCGCAACTCATCTATGGTGTTGGTCAAGTCATTAAGGAGCCTGGGGGTGCTGGTGGCAGAGTGGTACCGCTCTTGCCTTCGCAAGCGAGATGTCACGGGTTCGATTCCCGGGCCGGTGGAAGTTGTTTGGACATACTTCCTAGCCCCCATTAGTCCCTGTTCACCTAGCAGTAAAGTAGGTACCTGGTGTATATCGAAAGTTGCTAATTCGTATTCAGGGATAAGTTGTTGGAGCTTCCAATAACTTGATGACATAAACCATTGACTTTAAAGGCTTCTATGCCCTTGACTCTTCAGGCTTCTACGCCCTAAACTCATGAGACATAAAGGCAAGCATGATCTTAGCATGCTTCCCTGTTGGGCACTGTAAACGCTTCTGCGCTTCACCTTACACAAGGATGTAAGGGGGTGCCCAATAAATAATAATAAAAAAAAAATTAAGGAGCCGAAACTTCTTTGCGGAGAAAGCAGCCTTAATATTACAAATTAACTCTTGATTCATGGGATGGATTAATGACGTAGTGTTGGGGGAAGGAAGACCACTTTTACGTTGGGGTGACGATCTAACAGTAGGGGCGAGTGTCCTGGTGCGTTGTCAAGGAACAACAAAATGTTGAATGGAACATTCTGTTGCTCGCAGAATTTCTTCATGTCGGGAACGAAACAGTCGTCAAACCAGGAGAGGGACAGACCAGTGAACATCCACGCCTTATGTGCCGTTAGCCAGTGGACATTTAGCTTGGTCATGTCCATGTTCTTGTAGGCGTGCGGCTTGCGGGCTGTGTGGATCACCGACAACTTGAGCTTATAGGTACCGAAGGAATTGGTGGTAAACAGGACGGTGATGCGCTCCTTCTGCAATTTCTGGCCCCGACACTTGCTGGCAGACTGGACAACGAAGGTCGTGGAAGGTAATTTTTTCCAAAACAGACCAAATTCATCCATGTTGAACACCTGGTCGTCGGTGTACTGTCCTTCCTCCATAACTTCTCGTAAGAATGGAGGAAAATCCATGGCGGCAGCACGGTCAGCACTCGCTCCTTCACCAACAATGTTAATGTTGGTGATCTTGTTCCTTTTTTAAACCCTTGCAGCCACTCAGAGGAAGCAGTGAAGGGTTTGGGCTCTGCCATTCCTATCTTGCACGCCACTGATGAGTACAGTTCACAAGCGTAGTCCTGCACTGCC